AAAATAACAACTAAAAATATTTAAGAATCATATAAGAAATTTAGTTGAGTTTCGTAAAAGTACCTACGTCACATAAAATGGAACAGAAAGAGTAATATATATTATTTGAAAATGATATAAGAAGTGCTATAAATCACAATAAATTAACAACTTCAAAATATATTTAACAAAATCACATACAAAAAATTATATAACTCTCCAAATTTCATCGGTGTCACATAAATTGAAACAAAGAACTACTCCCAATTTATGTTATTTACTTTCCTTTTTAGTCAGTCCCAAAAGAATGTCACATTTCTATATTAAGTAACAATTTGATTATAAAATATTTATTTTACCCTTAATAAAATAATTTACAGTCATACAAATTTATATCATTCATTTTGGACCACAAATTTTAAAAGTCTTCATTTCTTTTTTAAACTCCGTGGCGAATCAAACTACCTCACATAAAATGAGACGGAGGAAGTAATATACATTGGGCCCGCGCTGGCGCGGGAACCTAATAACTAGTATATATATATATATATATAGAAACGCCATAAATGAACGACCAAGGGCAAATCTGTCAATTTGCTCAAAGATAAAAGAAATAATTAGCTTTTCCTCAGCTTTTCCAGAAGACTCCATCGTTTCATTTCTTTTTCCCCAACAATGGAGAATTCCCAGAAGAATCCTTCCAAGTGTCCAGAATTTTCTTTCATCCAAACTTAAATTCAAGGTCTACTCATTAACTTCATCTTCATATATTTGCCGTAAACTTAAATTCCAAGAATGGAGCATTCTTAGGTCACCTTTTGCCTCAATATTTTCCCTAATCAAGATTAAAATTTTCAATTTCTAAACTAAAATTCATAGCTACTGTGGTTATCGTACTACCCAACTCTCTTCTATGTTCTCTTTGATTTTTCATCTGGTACTGCAAAATCAAATTAGCTTTTTCTCTCAATATTTCCCTAATCTTCTTCGGGTGATGTTCAGAATTTCCCAATTTTTATTGGTTAAATTCACGTCTTCTACTGTTATTGTTCTGCCTTAACGCTTTCTTTGATGTTCTGCCACATTAATTTTCTTCCTTTCAATTTTCATTATCTCTTTTTCTCGAACCAGAGAAATTGAAGAATGCAATTGAAAATTAATAGCTTCTTCAAGCCTTCTATCAGTCATCATTTACTTACAACTACTTTCTTTTATTATATTGTTTCTTTTGAATGTCTCTATGGTAGATTCTTTTATTACTTCTTTTTTTTTTGGAAGAGTTTATCCGTAATATTTATCAAAAAATTTTCGTTGGTCCTTGTGTGTTAGAAGACAACAAGAGGATCTTGAGTTGTCCTTGGAATCAAGCAACTCAAATATGCATTTAAGATATTGGCTTTTAAAACTTCATCTCAAGTTACAAAAATGTGTAAGTTTTTGTAGACACTTATCATGGTCTCTTCATATGCTATTATAATAAGTTGGGATTCAAGCTTTTTCTTTTTATATCGTTGAGCTTATCATGTGTATGTTTGAGGTTTTTAAAAGTTTCATAACTGAATAAACCATTTTCTAGCAATTAAAAGTAATTGATTTGTCACTTGTCAGTTTATCACTACTTATTGATATGTAAGTATCTAACTTCTTGATTTATTTGTTAGATAGGGAGTTAATTATTTACTTGAGTGATACCTCCAAATTCTTTTTAATGGAGTAACTATATTTAAATTGAGCAAATACTTTCTGCAGTTGCACTATTGAAATTTACATCTACTATTTCTTCCCTTTTTAATGAAAGAGGAGCTGCTTTGTTGGTGGAAACTGCAGATTAGACTAACAAAATGGATTACACTACTGTGCGTCAATATGTAATTTTTCGATATACTGTGAACTATTGTCTATGGCTTTTCAGTTTTTCTTTCTTTTTCCCTTGTTGTCCATTCCAGTGTATAAGAGTCTGATATGGCAGAAATAACATATTTGTATAGGTACACTGCTAGAGTTAGAGCTAAAAGCATACAGAAGAAACATTGTAATAGCTTGAAATTAACTTAATCATTTCAAAATTTCTCCAGATATCAAATAAATCAGTTTTTGATGTCGAAACCCCAAATTTATTTTATTCATCAAAAAAGTTGATTAATAATCAGATGATGTAGAATCTATATAAGACATGTTATTAAAATATGTAGACCTAGAAAGTTCTAAATCATATTTGTCTTTATTTCCTGATTTTGTTATATCTAGATACTACAACATGTACATCTGAGAAGAATGCTTAAATTATCAATTTTAGAGTAACTTGATAGCTGTTACACTTCTAATTTGTAACTTTTGTAATCATAGATTGAATGGATAACTGAAAATGGTGGACTTTTATGTGAATAACATGAATAAAATACTGATGTAAATACTTAAATTTAACGTGGTAATCCAACTTCCTTGGAATCATTTCCTTACAGATAGCTATTCGAATAAGAAAACAATTAGTTGATAGTCTCTTCAACCTCAGCTTATCAGCAACCGAAAGAAAAATAATAATTAAAAAGTATAGATAAAGATAGTTTATTCAAAAAAAAAGTTGAACCCTTTTCTCTCTGATTCACTTTTTAGAGGATTATGAATAATTTTTTTGGTGCCCAAAACAGCATAAAATATCTATCTTTTTCTGTTTTTCTGCGGTCATATCATCTGGCCCTCTTTCATTCTCCAAGATCCAGGCTTACCCCGGTGAGTGTTGGTTGGATTTTTGAAGTTCTAGCTTAATATTTATGGGTGTAGATATATGTATTGTATAGATGTAAATCTCTATTCCTGTATTGATAAATTGGAAGAAATTTTGGCGCATTGATTCGAGAGAAGAGGAGACAGTTGACAGAGATGTCAGAGGTTTTTTGTGAGGAGTGTGTGACAGACCCACTTGAGTTTAGTTCCAACAAGAACATGTTAGATGCTGTATTTGATAGTGTCGACCTTCTTCAAAAAAGGAAAGAGTTCACAACGGAGGACGACAGTAATGTGGACAAGCCTTGATGCCATTTAGTTCATTAACCTTCTTCACAGGTTGGTTATTTTCTGCTTTCTTTATTGTTCCTCTTCCTCGTGATTTCAATTCTTCTCTTATCATTGGTATTATACTTCTCAACACTTCCCCTCATGCTAGGAAGTGAGAAGATATTGAACACTCCTAGCTTGAAACTGAGATGTTGAAGTTTCATTTTTGTGAACCCTTTAGTGAGTAGATGAGCTGGTTGATCTTGTGTAAGAATGTACTTTTTAGACACTAGACCTTGTGTGATCTTTTCTCTTATAAATGACAATCAATCTCAATGTGTTTGGTTCTCTCATGATATTGGATTAGCTGCAAGTTTTATAGCAGCCTTAGCTGTTATCAGTATATATGTTGATAGGTAATGAAATCTACATTGTTTTATTACAAAATTGTCTTCAGCTTCTATACATATACATATAAATGTTTTGGAATAGTTTAAATTCATTTCTGTTTTACAATCCCCTATAAAAGCCTTAGCTGTTTTTGTTATTGATGGGTAAAAAATTAGAGGTTGCTTCATTTGTTAGTATTGTGTGCAAGTGTAACTAATTCATAAATATGGTCTACTGATGTACACTTTGCTTACCCTAATTCTTATCTTTTACTTTTCTTATGATTGTATATATAGATAATAATAGAGCTTCAACTGCATTGGTGTGTAGAAAGTCCATCATATAAAATTGGCAAAATTGAAATGCGGCATGATATCTAACTACTTAATGACGAGACTTGACCATATAGTGTTCCAAGATATTTAAAACTACATATACACATCTACATGTTGTTCTGTGGCGGTCATGACAATTTCCTACAAAAGATTAGGATATGTTTGTGGTGAAGGCTTTGTTTCTTAGTCAGCTATATATATCGAGGGAGTTTGTGACTTTAATATCTCCATTTAAAGCTTAATCTAATTTTCATATCAACATGTGAACACATCTAATTCAAGATGGAGAATTAAGGATGAGAAAGGCTGGATTAAAGTCTTTTAATGGGCACACTTATTATGGTATTTGTTTTATTTCAAGGGCATTAAGAGAAAGGTGAGGTAAAAAGATTATTTTCTTTTTACCTTTCTATTGTTTTAGGATATGATTCTTATAGCTACTGATTTTATTGATATTAATATTTAAAAACAACTTTGTTGCTCTGATCATATGATTCTTATATGTACTGATTTTATTGATATTTCTATTTAAAAACAACTTTGTTGATCTGATCCGATGAATTCTTTGGAAATCTGCAATAACAACAACATCAATTGCTCCTCAATCCTAGATTAGGCCGCTAGCATATATCTTAAATGATTTTATTACTAACTACTTATGAAATGTCTCTTAGTCTTGGCATTAATTTGATTATATTAAACCATTGATGTTGTAGCGCACTTCAAATATGGACACCAGAATTGAAGTTCACTGCTATCTTTCTCTGTAATTCCTAGCGCTGTCGTTAATGGACGGGTCAATTTTTCTATATTGTCGCAATATGCGGAAATATGAGGTAAGATCCATGTTCGACATCTCTGTTTCATGTCATTTGTTCAACTTCTTTAGGTTTAATTTGTCTGCCTTCACACACTTGCTCCTAGAGGCATTTACATGAGCTATTTCTCTTTCTTCCGATGACATAGCTTCTATCTTTGAAATTTCTCCGATCATTGGTATTCCCATACATGAGTATCTCCTCTCTGCTATTTGATTTCATTTGTTTTTCTTTTGTCTTTTGTGTCAATCAGTTCTGCCGCCTTCATTGCTCTAATCAGATTCAGAATTTTGAGTACGATAAAATATAGAAAATTTAATATAAAACTCAATTAATAATTATTGATATGGGGACTTATACCTCTTCACAGGAAAGGAATAGAACATTAAGTGGTATTGAATTTCTGACGGATTTTGCAGGAGTGACATTAGTACTGGAGAAAGTGATAGGAAATTTGTATCAAAATTCTTGTTCTTTGTTTTAATTAATAGGTTCGGTCTCTTGCAATCATCGATTTGCTAATCTCTATTATCTGTAAGACAGCAAAGACATGTATTATGTATCGATCTTTGTTTATGACATGCTCAACTGACTTGATTACTTGAAGTTTCGTATCATTGAAATATATGATTTGTAATGTTGTAAAAAGATATATTCTAGGCTTATGTTTACAAAATCAAATTTCTCCACTTTTCAGTTTCATGTTGTGGCATTAGAATTTATGTTCCTTAATCTCCTGAGGTTTCTTCGCCATTTATTGGATCCTAGCTTTGACAAGCTTTCAATGATAAAATTTGAAATTTTCAAGGTAAAATAAACCTGAAAACTTTTCTTTTTCTCATGTCTGGTACATACTCTATGATATATATATCTCTTTTTAGATATTGATCAGTTCATAGATATGTCGATGTGATTACTGTGATAGTATCCCAGGAACCATGCTTGTCATTATTAGACCTCTATTTGAAAGTATGACTTGCAATATATGAAGTAATCAAATAGTTTATATAGCTTTCTTACTCTTAATGCTTTGAATATTGTTTTGAGAAATGGATTTTGGGCCTAACTCAACTCCAAAAGCTAGCTCTCGAGGGAGATAGCACAATTCGCACAATTCCATATAAGGAGACCACTCATCTCTTTTTCTATTCGATGTGGGACTCTTCAAACTCCCATCTCACGTCCAATATTTAATATGGGGCCCAACATCAACAAGTGCCCTGCTTTGATACCATATAAAATTAGGTTTTGGGCTTAACTTACATCTCAAAAGCTAGCTCGAAGGAAGAATTGTTCAAGCATTGTGAGAATCTCATTAATGGTTAATGTGAGACTTTCTTCATTCTTCAATATAATGAATAGATCTGAGGTAATACTTCCATAACAAAAAATAATGCATTTTCAAATGGAGCAGCATTATATTAGAGTTGTTGTACTTGTTGAAAACATGTTGGTACATTTGGGATGAGACATTGTACAAAAACTGAAGTGAAATCTTTAGCTTTAAGAAAGGAAATTATGTTCAATAGATGAAGATGGACTACATAAGACTTGGAAACTGCAAAATACATACATTATATAAACATAAAAATGCTTAACGTTTTAAAGTATTTTTAGACAAAAAAATAATGAAAAATTTATATGTTTTAAAATATTTTGCAGGAAAATTGAGACATGGTTAAACCAACAAATCATGTCAATTCTGGAGATGGTCCTGACTACAATATTGAAGTCATTGATGTTTATGATATTGTGTTGTGCAAATTAAATTGAACGTAACTAACTAACTGATCGGCAATGCAGTGATAAATGATGAGAAAAATACCAAAGGGATGTGTGGGTGTTTCAGCTAATAATGCCTTCATTTCAGATGAAACCTCCTCATATCTAATCCTAAGATTCTACAACTTTTCATACATGCAATTACACAATCAGACGAACGATTGCAATGTGGCTGTAGGTGCGGTTAGAACTGATATTGATTGTCTGTGTTTGTACCTTATCATTAACTTGAGCTAATTTGCGCAACACTTCCGCTGGCTCTCAATTTTATTCCTATTCATTTCATTTGTAAATATTGTTGTTGAAGCTTCTTTCATTTCATTGTTGTCTCGTAGTATGTACAAGATGGAAAGTGTTATTTTCTTCAAGACAGATTTGTTATTTTGAAGCAAATATTCAGTATAAATTTAAATTATGCAGGTGTAATAAAATCTGGTAGGCTCAACCTTGCAAAACAACAATGACCTTACCCTATTTTTGATTCACTTCCTTCACAAGCCAAATAGTTGCTAACCTATATATATAGGATGAAAATGTACACCACGGAGAATCAAATTTATTGCATAGACGACTCTTGTATGATGTTAAGCGATTGCATAGTCTCATCCACTTCAACTTTAGTTATGTCACCCTTAGTTCTTTTAATTCTAATTAACCGTATGGATTGACTTGAAAAAAATAGGTTTTAAGTAAAAAATAGAAAGTCAAATTGAAATGATTTTTAAGTCAAAAAATAGTAAGTAGGGAGAGATCAACTTTTGGTTTTTAACTTATTTTAAGTCATTTTTAGCTTATTTTAAGTCATTTTTGACATTGCCAAAAACTTCCTAACTTATTTTAAATCATTGTAAGTTATTTTTTCTATTTGTCAAATACTTTCAGAAATCAAAAACTGATTTAAAAGTAGGTTTGACCAACTTTTAAGTCGATCCAAACACCCTCTAAGTTTTAAACCTAATGTTCAAAAAACAAAGGTTGTTTTTTCATTAAATTAAAAACAAGGGAAACTTATTGAAATTAAAATTATCATGTTGGGCCAGTGCTATGCACGGGCAAAACTCATCTAGTATATATATATATATATAATGTGAATGTTGTTAAACATAAAGCTCTCTTTTTTATTGATATTCAACTGTCAACCTTAAGCTAATTCTTTTTCATCTTTCACAATAATATTCTAAAAAACACCTAAAGATCAATCTTAATCCACTATGTTTTATTTATTTTAAATCTAAGCAAAGATATTAGTAGAATGACATGAATAATAGACCAAATAAATTATAAAGTTATTCCAAAAATCAAACAATGCAAAATAAATTACATACTTTTTCCTAAAAATTAAACAATACAATAACAAGCCACGAAACTAAATCAATCTGTATTTCATATGCATTTAAATAACTCTATGTAAGACCCAAATAAATAAGATAAAGTGCTAGAGTTGGACCTTAATCCGTAGAGAATTTCCTAAAGAAAAGAATTTGAATCTGAAAAAGAGCTTAATTTTGATCGGAGCCTCCAAATATAACCTGATTTTTTGGTTGTCTGCGTGTGTTTGCGTTTTCAGAGAAAACAAAAAAAAGTTGTTTTGGTGCGTGTTTTTTTTTTTTTTGAGTGTATTTGCTGATGCATTTTTGTTGACGTCAATCTGCAAATTGTTTTTGGTGGGTTGGGTGTGTATATTGTATGTTCTGTGTGGGTGTTTGTATGAAGGAAAAGGAAAATGTGCATATGATTTTTTTTGTTATCTTTTTTTTTGGGTTCTCTACGTGTTTTTTTTTTTTTGGTTGTCTCTGTCCGTCTCTTTTTTCTGGAGTAGTGTAGGTATATATGTAGTGTTGCTGTTTGTGGGTAGTGTTTGTAGTTGTAGGTGCAGATTAGGGGGAAGTGGGGTGAAATGGGGTAGTGGGCAGGGGCGGATCCACGTGGTATCCAAATTACACGGTATATATAAAATAAATTTTATGTATTTCTGTAGATATATAAAATTTGAACCCCCTCAATGACAAATAGAAATTGATGGTGCAGTGGCAAGTACTCCTGAAATTAAGTTGTATGTCACCAGTGAAAACATTTTATTTTTTTCCTATTCAGTTTTTTGGTTTTTTTCTTAATTTTCAGTTTTGTTTTTCAAGTTTTTTTTAGTTTTTTTTTTTACTTTAAAAAATGTGCTAAAAGTTTGGTTTTAAACCAAAAAGAATTCAAGGTTTCCATTTCTAAAGGTTTATTTACACGTTTATATACTTTTATTTTTCGAACCTTCTGAACGAAAATCCTGAATCCGCCACTGGTAGTGGAGGAGTGGAGCGTGGAAGAGAGGTTTAAGGGGTGGGTAATGGGTAGTTTAGGTTATTTTTTATTTTATTTTATAAACTAAATATATATAAAAATCAAATTAATTATTTTGAACTAAAAAGTTAAATAACCAATTTGAAAAAAATAATACTAGTTTATTTATTAATCTAAATTAAAAGAACACATAATTTTTTGTAAATTTTCATTTCTTTTTAAACCATTGAAAAAATAAAATTTTATCTAAAAATGTGATTCTATTTTTGTTGTTTTCAAATCTTTAAAAATAAAGTTAATAAAATAAGGTAAAAGTCAAAATATTTAATTTATATTTTTAAAAAATATTTAAGCTTTAAAAAGGGTGTAACACTTAAGTTCGGTCAAAAATTACGTATTTACAACCACTTCAATTATTTTCACATAAAATAGAACGGAGGGAATACAAAAAAGAACAATATCATGTTTCACATGGGATTTCATTTGTAAATTTTCTTTTGACTATTCAAATTATTAAGTGTGAAACTAAAACTAGAGAGTTGATAGAGACAACTTGTGGACCTAGCTGGAAATGTGGTGGAAGTTTGCATTTTCTGCTTTTTAAATTGAGAAATTTACACAAATTGTGACAATTCATACTGAGATATTCTGCCTTCTTCTTTGTGTAGAAACTCTCATTTTCTTGTCACAGAAGCAAGCGAGAAATTAAGAGGTATGGCATATGCTACTATTACTTGTCTTATGAAATGTTAGCATGATGGACAGATAGTAGAGTATCTTATATGATCTACATTAACATATTCTCGATATGGTATCAGAACCTTCTCTTCTTTGATTCATAGAATCATTGATCTATGATTACTTTCAAAAAATACTTAGGCCTCTTGGTTATTCTAGCTATTTTTCGTATCGTTGTGTTTTTGATCCATGTATCAATCAATGGAACTCAGTGGATGTGATTTGCAACTGTTCTATGAAAAGCTCGAGTCTTTGAGAGCTATGCTGGAGAAATAACAGGCGATCTTGAGGCATTAACAAGATTGGAAGCAGAAGGCAAGAAGTAATAGTAAACTTTATTGCATGAACTTTTAAAGTACTCATTTTTACGTTGTCATAATACATAAACAGACACTCAAACTTGGTCAGTTGGCAAGTAAACATTTCAACTTTGAGTATGCACGTCTAGAAACCTCAACTCATCTCTACTATGTCAGTTGGACACTCCATTTTACCGAATAATAATCTAGACACCTCCAATAGTTATGTTTCACATCAACATCAGGTGTCCACGAGACACAATAGAGATGACTTAGAGTGTTTAGTTGTCAGTTGAGACCAAGATAAAGTTTCACAAAGACGGTATAGGAGAGCTACGAGTGACTACTTCCCTTGCCTTGAACGACTATTTCTTGTACATTGCTGGTGTTTAGACTCAGTCCCTCATGATTTTGCAGAAATCACTACATTGAAGATAATTGATGTTAACAACTGTGCACAATCATATCGAAAACCACTTGCAAGTCTATTTTTTCATCAAATATCCAAACGTTATAATAGAGACGACAATTACCAATACCAAACAAAAAATTGAAATATACAATAGTTAGTATGATTGAATGGATCTTGACCATATATACTATGCTACAACACTGACAAGTTTCTTCATTTTGTTTCACTTTTCCTCTGCTTTTCAGGTTATGCACACAACAAAGAATTCTGAGAGAAGTAAAATCTCAAACTCCTGAGAGACAAGGACCAGGTTCGATTCGATATTCTTGGCCATTAGCATTCCTACAATAAGCTTTAACTTGCCTTCCTGGTGTTGCTGGTGTTAGTTGTATAAGCTGCATTGTTATATCTGTGCATGGCACAGACTTGCTGCAGTTTAAATTTATCGCGATAGCCGTGCTCGATGTTCCATATATGTTCTGGTAAACAACATTGCTGATTTGCACTCCAGTTCCCTATCATGAAAATGTTAATGATACAGTTGATTCATCCACTGAATAGAAAAATACTTACTGCCACAAGATACGTGTCATACATTTATTGATTTGGTGTTAACATAAGTAAGTTTTTTTGTCTATGTTACTCAAACTCTTCAAAATGTTGTTGCATCCATATCAGATCCTCAAAAAATGCACTATTTTGGGAGGATCTGACACTGATTTTGCCCAAGGGGAAAGATGTCCGAGTAACTGTGATTTTGGAAAATGTACTAGTTGTGTCTGAAACAGTATTGATAAGGTATTTCCGTCAGCATTTTTGAAGAGTCGGAGTAATTGAAGAGCTGAATATGTAATTCAAGCTGTGTTAAATTGTATTACCATTTCCTTGCAAGCCCCTCGAACATCGCAGTAATTCTGGTCAATTATGATTGGGTTCTTGACAGAGTTGAATTGAAGATTCTCAAACGTGACATCTCGGACATAGCCTCTGCCAACCTATTCACATCATGACATTCGTAAGAAGTTAATAGCCAGAGGCGGATGGAGCATATATACGGTCAACTGAATCCAGTATTTTCGACAGGTAATATAGATATATAGTGAAATGATCATGTTTGATGTTTCAATAGTATTGTTCTGCTCTTGAGTTCAATTATTTCATTGGCTAAGTTTGATTTATATACCTGCCATGTCTTGATACGAGCTCCGTTCGTAGTTCCATAGAAGAAAACAGTGTTTACATGAATGTTCTCTACTTGAGCAGAATGACCACCTTTTCCTAAGCTTCCAATACTGAATACAAGCAGAATAAAAAGATATCATTAGTGTTAAGAAGTTAAAACATACTACTCCCTCTGTCCCAGTTTATGTGGCACAGTTCATATTTCGAGAGTCAAACATTTTAATCTCAGCCTAATTGAAGTTCCTATGTCAAAATCCTCATCGAACTAATGCTAAGTAGTCAATCATTTATCCCATAAGTTATGTTGCTAGGACTCTTCAAAAATGCTGATGGATGTATATTGGATCCTCCAATAATAGTGCATTTTTGGAGGATTCAACGTAGGTGCGGCAACAATTTTGGAGAGTCAGAACAACGTAGCGCAAAGATCACTTCTTTTGTTCAAGACATTTTAAACTTTAGGAGTTC